TCTGCGGGATGGGACTCCTGGTCAGATGGATGGAATCTCTATAAACCACTGCGACCCCGCCTCCCCGTCCTCCGGTTCTTGGTTGGTGTTGCACGGAGAAGCCTGGAGGACAAAGCTGGGAGAGGTTTACGCCCCCCGCTTCATCCAGCCAGGTCTCCGTGATGCACGCCAGATCTGCCCGCTCCTCCAGGATTAGGTCCTGGATCCAGGTCGTTTTTCCGTTGACAGATCTGGCGTTCAACAACACCACCTTCAAACCAGAGGGCCCGCTCACCTGGTTACACCAATTTACCTTAGGAGACCGGTTGGGAATTGTTAATATGGATAAACGGTCCGAATTAGGCCAAATTCGAGGTCTCCTTTTTCCGCATCTCCTCCTCCCCACCACGACCTCTATGGGGGCCCCTCGGCCAGTGGAACACCTCCCCCCCTCCATGCCGCGATCTGATATCAAGGTCTTATTTTCTGCTTCATCAGTTGTTTGATTTGTTGGTCCCTGCCAACACCCTTGCTCCCCTTCCTCCCCCCTCCCCGCCCCATATTTGTCCACAGGCTCCAGTCCGCCTCCTCCCCTGACCTTTCCGCTAGTCAGTAGTAACAAGGACAGTACCAACAGGGGGGTGGGGGACCTCATGGATAACAATAGCTTCAGATGGTAGGGCGTTCCGGCCACACCAACTAGGAAAGTTCGTAAAGTGCGAGAGTGCGAGAGTCTTCAGTGCAGCGCAGTCGGTAATACCACACAGTTAACAACACACTACGTGCCGTTGGGCACATACATAAAGTGCAAGATCTAAAGTGCAATAGGTAACCTGAACTGATTCTCAGCATTCACTAAGGTGCGGCATAGAGGGATAAGGAAGGGGGCGTAAGTGCTAGTGTTATTTAGCAGCAGGTGGCAGGCGCCTTAACGTGCTGTTGTGTTCTTATATCAACTTAGCAGCAGCGACCACCAGAAGAGTGTGCTATGATATTAATATGTAGTCACACTCTTACGAAAATGATGGAGATACCACTTGAATAAGGTTGTTATGATTCCGATGTACCTCTAGACGGTTGGTCTGAGAGCGGATGGGGCCTCCGGAGATGGTGAACACAGTGGCGGTCAGCACAGTTGGTCTATTATATATCTATCAATCCAAAGGAGGCCAGCTTAAGAGGTCTACACAATATTAAGGCCGGCACAACAGGTCTACTCAGTATTAAGGCCAGCATAAAGGTCTACACAATATCTACACAATATTAGGCCGGCACAAGAGGTCTACACAATATTAAGGCCAGCTCAAGAGGTCTACACAATGTTAGGCCAGCACAAGAGGTCTACAACAATATTAAGGCACATACAAAGGTTCTACACAATATTAGTCAACGCTGAAGAGTAAATGAGATATGTGGAACAATAACAGGATGTCTTAAACCTACGCCTGTTGATAGACTCTATAAGTTAGCTGACATTCCCTCCCCCCCTCTGATGTGCAATGGGAAGTTGCTGCCAATTGTGAGAGAAATAAGGTTGAACACTGTGAAAGCCACCCACTATATGGCTATCAGCCTTCTCCCAGTAGACTTAAATCAAAGAAAAGTTTCATGGAAACCACCAACCCTCTAAATGTTCCTCCAGCACTTTATTTTAATTTGTCACTGGGGGGAGGAGTGAGCAGACACTTGGAGGGGGGAGAGCAAGCAACTTTGGACCACATTTAATCTTTTTATCTTTGTTTATCAATTTAAAAGTGATATCTTTTAAATTACCAGCTTTCCTATCCAAATGTATCTCTCTTTATGAACCACCTAGGAATCTAAGATCGTCTGGGAAGGCCCTGCTCTTGATCCCGCCTTCCTTGCAAGTGTATTTGGCGGGGACGAGAGACAAGACTTTCTCAGTGGTGGCCCCTTGGCTGTGGAACTCCCTCCCTAGGGATATTAGATCAGCCTCCTCCCTCCTGACCTTCAGAAAGAGAGTTAAAACTTGGCTCTTTGAACAAACGTTTGGAAATGCAACAGAATAAATAATTATGAATTAGGAAGAATGAACACGGGATGACTAGACGATGCTGTTGGATAATGATTTAATAGGATGACACTGGGGATGATATGTTTTAATGGTTTTAATGGTTTATATCAGGGGTCCTCAAACTAAGGCCCGAGGGCCAGATACGACCCTCCAAGGTCATTTACCCAGCCCTCGCTCAGGCCCGACAATCAACCTCAGTCTGAAACGACTTGAAAGCATACAGCAACAACAATCCTATCTCATCAGCCAAAAGCAGGCCCACACTTCCCACTGAAACATGAATAAGTTTATATTTGTTAAAATTGTTCTTCATTTTAATTATTGTATTGTTTTAAAGTTTTTTTGTGCTACAAATAATATATATGCAGTGTGCATAGGAATTCATTCATGCTTTTTTCCCCTTCAAATTATAATCTGGCCCTCCAACAGTTTGAGGGACTGTGACCTGGCCCTCTGTTTAAAAAGTTTGAGGACCCCTGGTTTATATGGTCTTTATAATATTAGGTTGGATGTTTTTAACTGTATTTTATGAATGTATGGCATCAAATTCTGCCAAATTCTATAAGCCGCCTTGAGTTGCTGTAAGACTGAGAAAGGCGGGCTACAAATGCCACAAATAAATAAATAAATAAATAAATAAATAAATGCCTTACTAACAATCAACATAAATTAATTTCCATCATTTTCAATTTAATGGCTATCAGTATTTACAATTTAGCAGTAGTGTTGATACTAATGTTTCCAAGCTCTGGCTGTATAATCAATGTATATATAATTAAATAAATACATCTCATAAGCACTGCTTTCTTCTTTTGTTTGCTCTGTTATGTCTTGGAACTATCACGAATGCCACTATATTGCAATCATGATGCAACATTGTGCCATTGACAAACACATTGCTATTTTGTTTAACCTCCTTCAGGCCAAGGGCAATCCAGAGACCACTTTCAGTGAAGAAAACCTTATTCATCTTATGATTGACCTCTTTGCGGCAGGCACTGACACAACATCTGTCACCCTACTTTGGGGGCTTCTAAAGATGATCCTCCATCCTGAAGTTCAGAGTAAGTCGTCGTCATTGAGAAATATGGTGACTGTGGTAGGACGCCAAAGCTATCCCACATAGGTTTCCTTTTCTGTAACTCTGAACAAGTTTGAGTAGACATGTGAAGGCTGGGAGTGGAGGATGAAGACAGAAAAATTAGGGGAGAAAATCCTTTTTGTTGTTCTTGTGATTTTGAAGTATTTTTCCCCAGAAAAATTTAAATAATAGATGGTAAGATTCTTTATTTTAGTTGTGATTGAAATATAGGACTTGTACAGAGGTGATGAAGAATAGGATCACAAGCTAATAATACAAAATAAATTAACATTTCCAGAAAGAGTTCAAGAAGAAATTGATATGGTGATTGGCCGAATAAAATCACCCACGATGGAGGACCAGTCAAAACTGCCTTATACCAATGCTGTGATCCATGAAATTCAGCGTTGTGCCGATATTGCACCAGCTTCAGTTCCTTATATGACATACAGAGATACTGAAGTTGCCAATTTTGTCATACCCAAGGTACAGTCCCTGAAAAAAAATGTTTTAATAAATGAGATCACAGTTGCTAAATCACAATTTCATTGATCATATAAGGCGGTTTCATGCTCATTGTGAACTAGAGAACTAAATTTTGTGAATAAGTTTTTAAAAATGGGAATATATGCCACCTGGACATCTATTGCAAGTGTTTATGTTCAGGATGAGTCAGTAAGAGCTCACATTTTGCTTGCTTGTTTAATATTTTCTGTGGTTTACTGACAGTTGACAAAATTTAAAAAATATTGGCATAAAAGAACAACAAATTAAGTTCAGCAACATCACCAAATGTAGCTGGGGAAAATTGTGTTCTTGGGGCATGGATGGACAGGGGTGAAAGGGTCACATTGTCCCCTCCTGGACATTCATAGCCCTGCAATAAAACTTTTGTCCCCAAATGTTCTCAAAAGGACACAGGAGCCTTTTTGCCACATTATTTGCATCCAAATCCACATAGAGGGACATATTTGAAAAGGGTTGTTATCTCCTACATCCAAGCAGGAGGTAAGCATGTTTGAAAAAGGAAAACCAAAAGATTAAAAATCCCCAGTCTTCCTTCTGAACCAAAGTATGCTCTTGATTAGTTAGTTAGTTAGGCAATCCCTCGTAGCCTGAGGATAATGGTCCTCCAAGTATAGTGTCTTGACAGTGAGTCCATAAGTTACTCTGGAACCTTATTCTTGATCCGCATGTTCTCCTGCAGTGAGGACATTGGTTTCCATGTGGAAGGCAGTCCCAGTAAGGGTTGGCTTGATATGCCTTTCTCTTGGCACATTTCTCCCTTTCATCCTCCATTCGTGCCTCTTCGAGGTCAGCTGTGACCAGCAGTGCTGCAGAATTCTAAGAGGTTTCTTGACTATACTGAAGTTGGAGTGCATCTTTTCAGTTTTTGTGCTTTTGTTTGGTCAAAATGCAAAGGCAAGCAGTTTTGTGCAAGTCCAATAAACTACTAAAATTTTGAAATTGTGCAAATCAAAAAGTGGGCCATGTAAATGCAGTATCTGTTTGAGATGGAGGTCTTTAAATGGAGACTGAAATGCCATCTTTCAAGAGTGCTTTACTTGTATATTCTTGTGTAGCAGAGGGTTGGACTCTTTCAATTCTGTGAGATGAGTAACATCATATATATCAGGGGTCCTCAAATACCTAGTCATCCGGGCATCCCCTGGGCAACGTCCTTGCAGACGGCCAGTTCTCTCATACCAGAAGCGACTTGCAGTTTATCAAGTCGCTCCTAACACGATAAAAAAAAATACTTAGTTAATTTTTAATGTTTGTGACACATACTGTATAAACCAGGGGTCCTCAAACTTTTTAAACAGAGGGCCAGGTCACAGTCCCTCAAACTGTTGGAGGGCCAGATTATAATTCGAAAAAAGCATGGCTGAATTCCTATGTACACTGCACATATCTTATTTGTAGTGCAAAAAACATTTAAAAACAATACAATGATTAAAATTAAGAACAATCTCAACAAATATAAATTTATTAGCATTTCAATGGGAAGTGTGGGCCTGTTTTTGGCTGATGAGATAGGATTGTTGTTGTTGTTGTTGTTGTTGTTGTTGTTGTGTGCTTTCAAGTCATTTCGGACTTAGGATGACCCTGAACGAGGGCTGGGTAAATTACCTTGGAGGGCCTTATCCGGCCCTCGGGCCTTAGTTTGAGGACCCCTGATATTTCTCAACATCATCATATATATTATCTATCAACATCTTTGGGGGTTTTGTTAAAGAAAGGGCACAAAAATACCAGTGGCTCCAAAAGTCGTCGCAATAATGCACTAAACAAGAGAGGAGCCCCTGGTGGCACAGTGGGTTAAAGCCCTGTGCCGGCCGGACTGAAGACCGACAGGTCGCAGGTTCGAATCCGGGGAGAGGCGGATGAGCTCCCTCTCAGCTCCAGCTCCTCATGCGGGGACATGAGAGAAGCCTCCCACAAGGATGATAAAACATCAAATCATCCAGGCATCCCCTGGGCAACGTCCTTGCAGACGGCCAGTTCTCTCACAACAGGAGCGGTCGCTCCTGACATGACAAAAAAACAAACAAACAACTAAACAAGAGTAACTTTCTTCAAAGTACTTTTTTGCAAAATTTTACAATAAGAATCTGGAACAAACTTTAGGAAAATGTGAGGCAAAATCTTTTTAGTCATCCTCCAAATGCCCAAGGGAAGTCTTGACTGGTGACAAAGAACATATCTAAATCATCACCATCATCAATCATATGTGTGAAATTATTTCATATCCCTTCTCTGAACTCTGATCGAAAAATTGTTTAAGATTATATTTTTCTGGTTAAGTACGAGAGAGAGAGAGAGAGACTATTAACTTATAAGTCTCTAAATAATTCAGTAAAGCATGTTTCTAATAATAAATAATAATAAAACTTTATCTATCTCCCGTCCCCTCTCCCCAGGGCTTCCAACACGACCACTTCATCACACCAGAGAATGAATCCACTCTAAATTCAGTTTCTGCTTTCTGCAGAATTCTGGGATTTGTAGTTTAGTGAGGCTGTTAAAGTCTTCTCCCTAAACTACAAATTCCAGAATTCTGCAGGAGGCAGAAACTGGATTTAAAGTGGATTCATTCTCTAGTGTGATTAGGTAGTCGGAGCAGCCTACAATTCCCTTCATAGACTAATTTCCAGAATTGCCATGAATTGCCATGAACCCAGAGTATCTTGTATATAGGAACTAAAATCTGGAAAGCAGGCAACCTCTCTAATAATTTTCAACTTATTCTTTTATTTATGTACTTTACTGATTATAACATATAGGGATAAAAGAAGTATCATATTCACAACACGATTCAAACCTTGATTTGTTTCTATTCCACATTAGGGCACTGTTGTCGTCTGTCATTTATCTTCTGTGCTAAAGGATGCAACTATGTGGGAAAAACCCCACGACTTTTACCCAGAGCACTTCCTGGATACAAACGGGAAGTTCATCAAGCAAGAAGCCTTCCTGCCTTTCTCTGCAGGTACATCTAAAAGAAGGATGGTTGAGACGCATGGAGGAAGTGTAAAAGCAGTAATATTGAGTCTCAAAAGGATGGGATATCAGGAATGGCCTTCCTGAGCCTCCGTATATGCTGCCATATAATCCAGATTATCAAAGCAGATAATCCACATTATCTGCTTTGAACTAGATTATCTGTGTCTACACTGCCATATAACCCAGTTCAAAGCACATAATCTGGATTTTATACAGCTGTGTAGGAGAGAACTGAGTTACCTCAAGGACAGAAAGGCCCCCTTCTACACTGTCATATAGAATCCAGATTATATGCTTTGAACTAGATTATATAGCCGTGTAGACTCATATAATCCAGTTCAAAGTGGATAATGTGGATTATTTGCTTTGAAAATCTGGATCATATGGCAGTGTAGAAGGGGCCAAAGTTGTAAATTCTTATATTAAAAGCACATCAGCAACTCTCCTTTCCAAACGAATGACCAAATAGTTACAAGCACCTTTCCTAATTTTCTAGCTATCTTACAATGAGTAAAAAATACTTGTCCTATCACTCATATGTTTCTATACATGTGTTTGTGCAGTGTCCATTAGGGTTGGATAGGTTCGTTCAGAAGAGCCTGAAACTCCTAAAAAAAAACTTTGGACTTTTGACTTTCAAAGCAGTTTTGGACCATGCAGGAAAGGTGGGGTGGAGGAGGAATCCAAATTTGAACCACTTAACTTTTTAAAAAAAATCAGAAGTGACTTTAGAATTGAACCACCAGCGCCCCCTACATCCAAAATGCGTTTTGAACCTCTTTTTTTTTTTTTGGCTCAACCAAGCCTAGTGTCCATTCTTATCTGAGATCCTAAGCTAAATCTTATTTTTAGTTTTTAGTTTTCAAAAAGGTAAACCCATGAAGTAAATGGAATTGGTAAAGCCAATATGAACGTAAACCCTATTTTTGAATGGGTCAATCTAGTTATTTAGTTCCATGTAACCGAGCTAATTTATATTTTCTGCTCACCTCCCTGGACCACAAAGGCTCATGTTTGCTGAGATATTCACCTAACCAACTTGGCCCAGATTTTGTAGGATCCAAGCAATGTCAGTCAACTTGTGTCTGCCCATTACTGTAAAAAGCAAGGCAGTTTTTGTGTGTGAAATAAAGATGAGACAGAGATTTGTGGCTGTATTTCCTAGTAGTGTTCTTTTTGTTCTCCTATAAACAACATATAACCTCTTCTTCCTTTAGGTCGTCGAGCTTGCACCGGAGAACAGTTGGCTAAAACAGAGCTCTTCATCTTTTTCACCACTCTCCTGCAACATTTTACCTTTTGCATTCCAGAAAACTATCCCAAACCAACAGAGGAAAGAATATATGCTGTGACAGTCACCCCAGCCCCATTCCAGCTATGTGCCATTCCTAGATAGAGAACTCTTATGAGTTCCAATTAAAGCAGAGCCATTGAATCAGGTTAATTCAATTGATCTACTCTAATTGTGAAAAACCGATCGGACCGAGGCCACTGTTTCCAGTGTCTCTGTTTCTTTTTCTGAATTTGGGGGGTTTAAGCAAGGAGTGGGAGTAGGATGTAAATGTTTTAGCCTTCTTGTAGCCTTGCATTTTCTTGCCAGAGAATAATTATATGCCCCGTGCTAGAATACACAGGCAGGCCCCGAGTTTCAGACATCTGATTTACATCCAACTCTTAGGACTTCATCCTACTTACCAACTCAAGCATTCTAGGATGCTTCCCAAACCCGTAGCCAGGATTTTGATCGGGGTGGGGGGCTGAGGATCTGCCCTAGCAAACCTCTTGTATCATTATCCCAATACCCCCATGCATATGGGATATATTGAGCATGGTGATCAGATCATGATATGAATAAACGTAACAGTTTAAATAATGTACCAGTAAGGCCTTCTTGCGGACCACCATGAGAATTTGGGGGGGGGGCTGAAGCCCCTCATCCCCCCCCCCCCCCGCTACACGCTACATGCCTGATGCTTTCGGTCTGCTTTGGGAATGGAGCCCCACACCTGCCATCACACAACATCATGTGACTTCTTGTGGAGATTCCGTCCCTAACCAGGGTAAAAGCAACCTTGGATGCTTCCCTCCAAATACAGGAGCCTTCCCATGTTGAGTTGGGTCCAATGGAGCCAGAATACTTCTGCCCAGTTTGAGTTATGCTTTCCCCATGTAATGAGGGAAGCGTTGCCATACCAAAACATTGACCTCTAGACCTCATCCTACTTACCAAATCAAGCATTCACATCATCCTTATATGTTCATTTAGAATACCAGCAACTTTTCTTCAATTATTTTTGTAATCCCCTTTAAAACACATTTTATTGTAACAAGTTATATACATTAGCTATAATTATACTCATTGGAGGATCATTGGAGGATTCTCAGATTTTCTAGAGAAGATAAATGCTCCTTATCGATTTTCTCACCCTTCCTTATGCATACTTTTAAGGATCTCTGTGATTTGCTCCACATTAATATTTGACTTTTTCCTAAGCTGCTTTTTGCCTCCTCCTGAGAAATGCAGGGAAATTAAAGTTTGGAGCTGCAGAAGCAGCAGCAGCAGCATAGTCCCATAATCCTTTCTCCTCTACCTCTCTCCTTGCTCACGCTCTTTGCTTGCCACCTAGACCCTTCCCCGACTCCTTGCCTTCCAAGATCCTCCCCTATTTCCATTCCATCACTCAGGGAGTGCTTTGATTGTGCTTTTCCTGCATGGCAGAAAGGAATTGAACTGGATGGTCCCTGGAGTTGCTCCTATTATTATTATTATTATTATTATTATTATTATTATTATTATTATTATTATTACTATTATTACAACAAAGGCTGAATGGCCATCTATTGTGGGGGGGCTTGATTGTGCCTTTCCTGCATGGCAGAAAGAAGTTGAATTGGATGACCCCTGAGCTTTCTGCTGCTGCTGCTGTTGTTGTTGTTACAACAAAGGCTGGGTGGCCATCTATTGAGGGTGCTTTGATTGTGCTTTTACTGCATGGCAGAAAGGTATTGGACTGGGTGACCCCTGAAATACTGTTAAGTTTATGTTGGTTAAAATTGTTCTTCATTTTAAATATGGAGCCCCCGGTGGCGCAGTGGGTTAAACCCCTGTGCCGGCAGGACTGAAGACTGACAGGTCGCAGATTCGAATCTGGGGAGAGGCGGATGAGCTCCCTCTTATCAACTCCAGCTCCTCATGCGGGGACATGAGAGAAGCCTCCCACAAGGATGATAAAAAACATCAAATCATCTGGGCATCCCCTGGGCAACGTCCTTGCAGACAGCGAATTCTCTCACACCAGAAGCAACTTGCAGTTTCTCAAGTCGCTTCTGACATGACCAAAAAAATTAAATATTATATTGTTCTTTCTTTTTTTCTTTTCTTTCTTTCTTTTTTTTTTTTTGCACTACAAACAAGATTTGTACAGTGTGCATAGGAATTTGCTCATTTCTTTCAGTTGGTTCACACAATCATTTGGATCGTAGGTTCCTCCAAAATATACTACATAGCAACCAATCAAAATCTTAATTTTTGTACCAAAATTTGAAAAATGTTTTTCAAAATCCTCACCAGAAAATTGTACAATATAAAAATCTTGTCAGGGTTTCTCAGCGTATTGAGGATGAGCAAATGTAAATATTCTTTTTATCCATAGTTTACACATGATCAAAATATGTGATTTAGGAATGAGATAAGAAGAGCCTAAAAGTAAATCTGCCACCCAAAACTCTGAATTACTTGTTTTCATAACAATGAGAATATTACATTATTTTTGGTGATGCTATGCATCTTCTTAAACATGATATAATTAGGACATCAGCTTAGGACATCAGCATGTCTTAATCTGACCCTGAGGGACAATATATGGTTGTTATGAGTCTTCAATTAATTTCCAGTTTATGGCAACTATAAAACTAATCTGTCACTGGAGTTGTGTGGCAAGATTTTTTTCAGGTTTTCCCTTACCTTCCTCTAAGGTTGTGTGTGACTTGCCCAAGGCCACCAAATCTTATTATGGTAAAAATAATGATGTAATATCAAAGAGACAAATTACATCCTAGGCATATCGTAATGGACTGACAGAAATGCAGAGGTGTTTTGTGGTTGCTGTCAAGCCCTGTAGATGCTACAAAAATATTTGGATTATGCAAGTGAGCAACATAAAGAATACACTGAAGCAATCCAGGTTCTTTTTGTCATATTTTCTTGTCATATATTGTTTATCTTATATATGAATACAGTGTTCCCTCGCTCCTTTTTTCATGGACTCGCTGTTTCGTGGGTTTTTGCCTCCTGGCAACGATGGAGTGTGGAAGGGGGTTCCACCCTCCCCCTCGGGAGAGAGGCAGCCAAGCATAAGAAAAGAGAGAGGAGATACAAAGCAATATGTAAATCACAGCCTTATAGCCCCTTCCTTATAGCTAGCAACATTTTTAGGCGTTTCTAGGCTCAGGGAAATTAGTGGAGTCAATTCTTTAAAATCTAACTATTTATATGCTGCAGAGACAGAATCCTACGAGCAACCCATGAAACAAGTTGTGTGTCATTTGATGGGATCTGTGGGATTTGTGTGTGTGGAAACAGAAGTCAACCTCCATATGATGTTGTCCCCTGTACAGCTGGGTCTATTGAGCCAGTAGAGATGGGCTGGCCCCAAGGGTGATAGGTGCTTGAGTCCTTTATTTCTTAAGATGAGGCCCAGGAAAACACTTGAGGGAATTTCCCAGGTCATGAAGTGCTGGTGAAAGGTCCGCTAAAGGTCTTGGTCAGTGGCTTACTTCTCCTAAGGGTTTTATAACAAGATATAATATATAGCAAATTAATACACAAACACGAGGGTTCGTGGATACTGAGGGGAATCCTGCGAATGGGTGTCTGGGTATCCACAGGGGAGTTCAGAATTGACACAGGGTTTATTGGGGCAAATGGGAAGTTAATATAGGGATAATGGGAAGGAGAACCCCGCTCCAAGAGCCAGGGAGGGCCATGGGGGCTGTGAGAACCATGTGGCCACTGGGACCGGCTGTGGAAGTGGAGAGCATGATAAAAAGACTCAAGAGACAGAAAAACATACAAAGGAGCAGAAGTAGAGGATAATGCACTGAGGTGCATGTATATATAGGGGTTAGGTAACAATATAACTAAAAAGAGGATACTCGAGCACTGGTAGCTGCTGCTGGGGCTTCTCCAGATGTCCACAAACCAATCTATGCAATTACAGGTTCCCGCTGTTACTGAGTTCACTAATTTGATATTTTGACCGGGGGAGGGGGGGGGGATCAGGGCTTGACAACATTACCAGAAAGCTCAGTGAAGTCTAGTTATTAGCCAAACAGAAACCTTAGTTTTGTAACAAAATGCAAAACACTTCAAAAGCCTCAGAAGGGGAGTGGGACTCAACATGCAGATCTTCTAGGTATGACATAATTTCATAGAATCATAGAATAACAGAGTTGGAAGAGACCACATGGGCCATCTAGTCCAACCTTCTGCCATGCAGGAAAAGCACTATCAAAGTATCCCTGAAACTTTAAAAACTTCCAAGGATGTTTCCAAATGTCTCAGGAAATTCCTCAGCGGGATCAGCAAGGGGAGCTGAACTCTGTGGCTGGCCTTGTGCAGAAATCATATTTATACATATTGGTTATATTTCATTGAGGTTAAAAACATTGTTTTCATTTTCTGGTTAATGCTTTGCTTGTGCACACGTGCACAGATATGGGTAGGCATATAGGTACAGGCATACGGGCAGAGATATGTGGGAAGGGACAGGGTAGGGATAAAAGTATGTTAAAATAGATATATTGGAGGGGGGAGATAATACATGTTTGCTGTGCAGGAGATCTGCTGCTGCAGACTTAGTTTGTATGTCTGCTGGTACCAATCAGCGCATCTCTATGAACTTTTAATAAAATATATATCAAAGGTGGAGAGGGAGCATGGAGGGGTATTGGCTGCTGCTGGCCCGTCATGTGATTATGGAGGCCTCACAGAGGAGGAAAAAGGAAATAATTTTATCTCTTTTGCTTTAATGTCCTAGGCAAACTATAAATCTTTTGGGGTTGGGGTGCCGTGTTTGACAACAATGACAGGGTAATAATGAAAAAAAAAATGCATTCCCTTATTATTTTGTTATCAAGTTTTCTCATGTTCCATTAAAATCTAATTTTGTTCTCACTCTGTATTCAGTGCCAAATTATTCACATGTCTAAATGCCCTGCTCTTTGTTAAGCCCTGAGATAAATATATATTTTCTAATGTAAGTTTCAATTTATCAAATCTGTAGCTGACACAAAACTGGGGAAGGTAGCCAAACTAATAGTGTGTCCACTTAGAAACTATGCACTCAGATGTGACTGTTCCTCCCACAAGGATCTTCTCTATGATGTCATTTTCATTACGTCAAGGCCCTACTTCACAGAGGAAAAACTGAATTGGTCCCTTAATTGGAGATACCATATGGGTTCTTCTCAAAACATTTCTTAGTTCCAAAGCCTTCAAGCTTCATTCAACATCTATTGAGTCAGTTCCATCAAGACTCAAGAATGGCACATAGTAACCCTTGTCTCAATTTTCTAATGTTGCATCAGGAAGATTTTGCCATTTTAGAAAACTCAGTGGAGGAAAGAACCAAATGGCAAGTCAAAGCTGGTTTAAGTTCAAGCACAGGGAATCATCTGACATCAACACTTCAAAGAACAAAGAACACTTCAAAGACTGAAGACTGACAGGTCAGAGGTT